CAAGGCGTCGAACGCTTCGAACTGACGCCGCAGAACACGCTGACCATGAAAACGAGCACCTCCGCAGCTCGACGTTTGGCCTCACCGCCGCACAGCGTGTCACTGCGTGTGTAGACGTATAATATGGAGGATGTCGAGGTCGGTTTCGAGACAGGAGCAACTGCTCGGCGTTTTCGATTCGTCTCGGAGGAGGCGACAATCCAGTCGTAGGACGCTCGCGCGGAACATGCGACCGCTTCGCGCTCAGCATCAGCTCGAGGGCGGCGTGCGGCGCTCGCGAACCGCATCGTTGAACGAACATAACTCGCGACGCGAAGGGTTAGAGTGCTGGACGCCGCTCTGCGACAGCTGACAGCAACTCGGTGAGAATGTCGTCTACGATGCTTCGCGAAACCTGCACCGACAAAGAAGCGCGCGTCAATTAAATTAACGCAGAGGTGACGAGCCGGTGAGATCTGAACGGAAAGTTACATTGATCACGGTGCGTGACTGGCGAGTTGTACGCGCTCTGATTTTTGCTGTGAACTGTGCAGATCCTGCGTATTATGCGTGTGGGAAATCCTGGTGTGACATGTGCGATGTGGAATCGCTGCGTTGTGCGTGTGCGTAGTAAGGGAACATACCTGCGTGCTGCGTGGTGCGTGTAGGCCCGAATCCTGCGTTGACGGTGTGGGAATCGAATCCTGCGTTTGAGTCCATGTGCGTGTGGGAATCTGCGTTTGCGTGTGCGTGATGGGAATCCTGGCTGTGCGTGTGCTGTGTGGAATCCTTGCGTGTGCGCTGCTGACGTGTGGAATCGCTGCCCCCGTGCGTGCGTCGTAGCGTGAATGGGAATTCCTAGCGTGTTGACCGTGTGAGCGTGATGAATCCTTGCGTAGCTAGACAAAAACGTGTTCCGTCGTAGGGAATCCATGCGTTTTGCGTGTGCGGCGTGGCAGAGGGAATCCTGCGTTTGCGTGTGCGCGTGGGAATATTGCGTTTGCGTGTGCGTGTGGGAATCCTGCGTTTGCGTATGATTGTGCATGAAGTAGCGCACTGTGGTTGCTTCCGACTATGCTCGCACACCTACGGAGAGAAGGAGAGATAACGCGAATAAACGTGCTGAAGAAGAGAGGCCTAGCGTATATGCCTGCAGCGTGCATCGGTTATATGCTAACGTTTGTACACGAAACACAGAGTAGATCGAACCTCTTTTACGCCTACCATATATATATATACACGAGTTGTATGCTAATGAAAATGTGCAAATAAATTGGTGTGGCGATTGGGTTAAAAGCAGTGATCTACTTGTCGCAATATTTTGCACGGGTAGAAAATTACTAGAAATATTTGCATACAACACGGATGTAATGATGGTGGACGTAACGGTAAGAGCAGTGATTACGAGCACACAGCTCATGCGTGTATGCATGATGAGCTTGAAAGAGCAGTGGCCTATTTGGGGGAAACTCATGCAGTAGGGGTTTCATTGAGAGGTGGTACTGGCTGACTGGGCATGTTGTTGGTCTTATACGGCAGGGGTTTCATTAAAAAACAGGTGCACCCCTCCGGTCGCATGCATAATCACCTCTACCGGTATAATCAAACAAAACTCTATTCTCTTCCAATTTCAACTGGAGGCGCGTTGTATTCCTCATAAAAGGTATGTGAAAAATACCGTCCATATGTGTTCATAGGGCTTCCCGATGTTGTTGGACAGTGGTTCCCCAATCCCAGCAATTCCGTGCAGCGGTGCTGCCATTACAGGCGGTACCCCGTTGTGACAAAGATAACCCCATGTGAACGCTCAACGTCACCGACTGCTCGAGGCTACATTCTGTTTTGGCAACATCCGTTTTGTCCGCAGAAGGCCAGTTTTCTGCCACCCACTCTTCCTTGATGGTTTAAGCAAAACTCGCGCCAGCGAAAGAGAAGCAACTAACGTATTTTGTCATAACGTAGTAGTGAATTATGCATGACCATCGAAGTATCTATTCTATCTATACCTGAGACATACGTTTGGACTGCGCCATGTGAGCCTTTAAATTTACCATTCTGTTCAATTAGAATAATGTAGAAGGTTAGTAGAAAATATCAAATAAAGTTAGTAATTCTATTTCCTGTTTACGGAGACCTCTTTTGATATTTGATAAAAAAAGCAGCTCGTTACAATGTTTTTTTACGGAGCTATTTTAGGCTCCGCGCAGCTTTTTCATAGTCATGATTTTGTTAAAATTTCACATAATTTTGAATGCACTGACACTAATATTATCATCCAGCAATCACACTCAGCACCATTATAACCCAACCAGTCGTGTGACTAGCGTCAATCTTACTAACCCTAGCAACTAGCCATTTCTGTACTACCCATTGGCGTTCGGTAGAAAGACACAGGTTAAGAAATCGTCACACAATAGCAGTTCGATTCCTACATTCTTTTATCTCATTCACTCTAACCTACAGAAACCAGCATTCTATATTCAATTTCATTCACACAGACCAGATATCACTACACAAGTACACCATATTCAGTGTAACATACAAACGACAGAAACCAAGAATTATAACATGGTAATGATCGGATGTTATTTCAATCTTTTTTTTGCTTCATTCCTCATCTTTCAACTTCTTTTACATCGTACTGAAGTAAGTTCATAAAACTTCAGAAGCTTGTTTTATCTACGTTGAGTATGTAATAAAACCTTGTACCGGAATCATCTAGGAACGCCGGACTTCTGGCAATGGTTTCATCACTTTCGCTTTTTCTTCTACTCTCCAGCCTACGTACCGCGGTCCATCGCATAGACTCAATGCTGGCGCACATTCCGCTACAAAGCTTAACAATGCCTAGAACTAGAATATACTAAACTAGGAATCATGCTTTCAGCATAATCTAACTGAATAAAAATAGTCGCAACTTTCTACGCTGTTAACCGAAAAGTGACGAATTCAGTTAACCAGCTTTGATACGTGCGTGTCAGGTTCACTGGCTGTGACCCTCACTGCCCCACGATCACCCCCTGCGATATAAAAACTTAGTTATGTGTTCATAGAAAAATCTGGCTGCCGCGCAATGTCACAATCGATTTCTTAAGACGTCGCGAGTTTTGATACAGTGTGGCGAATCATGCTGATCTGCGACTTGAGGTCGGACGATTACTATGTCGGCCGCCGCCGGACCAGCTGACACGAGCCAACGCAGTTCGCCGACCGCGGTCGTCCAATTTTCTAATTCGCTCACCTGGCACTGGGGCAGCCGCTCTATTTTCTACACGCTGGTGTTTTCGTTAGTACCCGGAGTTCAGCACATGTACACGTACATTGAATTTGCGTACACTATCCTGTTAAACATTCCGAAATGAATGAAATCCAATCGAATCGTAGGTGGACACATCAGCATAACGTTGAGATTGGCGGTATTACGAGGGCGGAATTAACAGGTTTACTGTATTAGCTCATTTTTTAAGAATCATCTGCAGCTGCTTCATTTCTCCCACCCACTCAGCTTCTTAGTCTAGTTTGGAAAAATTAGGGCCTATTTAGAAACTTTTTGTCCATTTTCATAGAAATATTTAGGTTTCACACCAAGATTACAAATTTGTTCAAACCAATTTTTTTTTTACAAATTGCGTGTTCAAAGTTACCCCAGTGACGGTACAGGATGATGCTTTAAATGTAACAAAACCCAGGCAATTACTTAAAAGCCTCCCCAACACCTCCCCCCTACACAACACACCGCCAATATTCTAACCTTCCCTGAGCCGTTTCGGACTATCGACATTCAGATTGTGAACTTCGACTAAAAAAAAGCGAGCTGTCCAACTGTCCCCCCCCGCACCCAACACACACACATACCTGCTTAATTCTACCACCCCCTGTGAAGTGTTCAGACTATGAACCGTCCCAATCTTGAACCTTCGGACTACGAGCTGTCAATCCCCCCCCCATCACACACACACACACATCCTCCAATTCTCTCACCCCTGCTGATGTTTTTCGGCACTTATGAAGCCTTACCGTATACTTGGAAATGCTAGATAAGTCTATTTCCCCCCAGGGACTGCCGAGGAACATACCGCTGGTACGTCCGTATAGGCCCGGAACGTACACTGTAACTAATCTATATATGCCAGAAACCCGTACCTCGCACTACTCCAAACCGTAACGCACTGACTGTCCAGCCCCGATGTCGTAATACATACCGCTTGTCGGCAGGAAACGCACCGCTTTATGCTCCTGCCGTTCCTTGTTTCCGGTCTGTTCGCCGCGCAAAGACTATCGTAACCCTTACCCCTGTTACGTTTCACCCACCCGACCCTTCCTACAATCCAGCGAGTCTATAGCGTTTCCAAGCCATTAAGAAATCATACAACATTTCCTGTCCCACGCACAACACTCGGAGCCATCTTTAAAAAATCTGATATCTCGAAGAATGCGGCAATATATTGCGTAAACATTGCGAACGAAAACGCAATTCCGACATTCGGCGATATTATGCCTAAACAGATTGCGCGATCAAGTGCTATATACGGTTAATAATTTCTTCTCTGATTTCACCAATTCAATACTCCAAATCCCACTATAAACAGATATTCATTACAGTCTTATGTATATTTTCAAATTTGCGCCCGACATCAGTAGTGAGCCGACACGACCAGTCCCGGGTACCGGTAGGAGTAAGCGAGTACGGTCCGCATACTCGTATCTTACCAGGTTATGTCCGGCAGTACCGCGCTGAGGATCATCTAGACCATCGCTACTCAGCGATACTGATACTGAGTGAGCTCCGTGTATCCCGGGCCTACTGACTACTTAGATAGCATATAACTGTACCCATACACAGATAGGTTATCAGAACACCGAGCCTATTCACGTTCTTTGGAGCCCAACACCGAGTGAATCACTCAGGGCTTGCTGGTGCTTTCGCCAGACTAGAACTTCCAAACGTTTATCTCACCTTTCTCTGCTGATCCTGAACTTACTATTCACAATACTCTGGATTAAAACTAATATAACCTACAGGTACAAAAATCGAAGGACGGATCGCGATTACCTCGTCGAGCTGCCATTTCGTCGACGCTGTGACGATACAGGATCCCCCAGCCATAGCGTTCGGCCTAACTTCGACTCCAAATCGAATTTATCATGGATGCCTGACCTGTCATCGTCGACCTTACGACGAAAGTTAAGTCCGCACGACTAACAGGGGTTCCTCCCAAGAAAAGACTAGGCCTCGCCCCGTGCTGCTTGAACCCTACCTGTGTTTGGGTTACATTATTTGACCATTGCCCCTAACGCAGTACGCTATTGAGTCGACAGTGTACTGACGCTGAGAGGTCTATGTCCCTCACGGTGATAAACGCCGGAACGTACCCCTGGTACCGGTCTCGATCACCGGAACTTGTTACCCTGGTACTATCTAATCCAATATGCCGAACCGAGATACAATAAATGTAACGCAAACCCAAAGGCGAAGGGTGGGTTACATTATTGTATCTAGCCGAACTACCTCGCCTACCCACCTAACTAGTCTAAGGGAGTCCGCCCTTACGCTACTCCCAACCCGAACCAACTTAACCCTAATCCGTTAACGCCTCCTAACGCATATCCCAATAAGTGCACCAAGGGTAACGTTCCGGTAAGCCCGACCGTACACCCAGGGTACTTCGCACGTAGCCCTGGGACATAGACCCTATGATGCTGGCTGCGACCCAGCCCGCGCACTACCGCGAGTAGCCGCGTTCCAAAGGCTACCCAGCCGAATTCTCGTCCCCTAGAGGGCCTGTGTGCTGATTCATTAATTATTCGTTTGAATAGGGATGCCGGGTAGGAGGTAACTGATTATTAATGCTAATAATCATGATCCATCTAGGCGGAATCATCTATCTCTCCCGCGAGTCGGACTGGAGACGTCGCGCTGTCCCCTAGTTGGACATCCTATCCTGTACGCACCTACGTAATTAGCTGTACCAAATAATCAAAACCTTCCATAGCGGTTATACGGTAAACGTATTATTAAATGCATAAAATGATAAACGTCACCATTACACATTGTCTTACTCACACTGAAATCGGAATACCGCCGCCAAAAGCACACTGTATAATAAAAATACAGATTAGGCCTGAAGACATGACATGAACAGTTAACAGTGCGCCGCCCATCTCTCTGCGTAAAGAATTACTTATGTAGTTTCGCTGATAATTAACTAAATTATCTCTCTCTCCTCTCTCTCTCCGCGCATCCTCGCCCTCTCCTACTAGTCCCTCTCTTCTCCTCTCTCTCACCCACTCAGCTCACACGCACCACAGGGATCTCTCTCTCTCATCGTCTCATCTCTCTCCTGGCGTGCGTGCGTGCGTGCTGCCGTGCGGTGCCGGTGTGTGTCACTGTTTTGGGTTTTCTGTGTGTTGTACACTGCGCGTGTCGTCGTGCGTGCGTGCGTATGTGTTGTGTGTGTGTGTGTGTGTTGTTGTTGTGATGCTGTGCGGCGTGCGGGGTGCGTGCGTGCGTGCGTGCGTGCGTGTGTTGTTGTGTCATGTTGCTCTCGTGGCTCTAGCTGGTGTGTATGTGTGGTGCTGCGTGCGTGCGTGTCGTGCGTGCATGCATGAGTGTGTGCGCGGCGCGGGCTGCGTGCATGCGTGCCTTTTCTGGCCATACTCACTTCCCCGGCTTCCCGTCTCTACGGGCCGGTCATCTTTCCTATTCACAA